CAGTGGTGCACACCTGAAGCTTAATTTGTGTATAAACCATCCTAAATTAGGTACACCCCCAGATTTTAAAAAGGCAAACCAAGCAAATAGCTCTATAAGGATAATATTTTATAGAAATGCCTTTCCTCAAAAAGTACTCCCTGATTCATGATCATCTTGCCTTATATCACCAATCTATTGTAATGCTTTATAACTGAACAAAGAAAGGCATTAAAAATTACCATCTTTGAACATCACATGGCTTTGATGAACCTCTCTGCCATTTAAAATACCCAAGTACCGAGAATCAGAACAAATAGAAGAACTCCTATAAAAGAAAAACGGTACTATCCCATTCATCTCTTCAAATAAGTACAGTTCAAAGTAATATAGAAAATGAAAAATGAATTCTACCATAACACACACATCAAAAAATGCTGGAGGCTACATGATATCATATCTGTATTCTTCAAGACAGAATCCTATCATTTAGGAGTATGAAAAAATTTCCTTTCATTAGGCCTGTCCTGGGCAAAAACGTACCATCCTGCCAACACTAAAATTCCTTTAGAGGAAAAATGAAAGTGTCATTCTCGAATCCTTCTGGACATTTCAAGACAAAGCACAAAAGAGGCACTTGAGTGATCATGTTACTACCTTTGACCAACTATTCCTCATGGAAGCCTGGAATTTGCATAATAAGTTAGATAGAACATGTTCCTACTAATTAAAAAATTTAGACTGTGTCAGACCAATTGTTATAATATTTAGAAGGCAAAGGCAGCCAGGTGTGTGCATTTATATTGAGCACAGTTATCATAAACTAAACCACAAGAACGAATTCTATATAATCACCTCAGCCTGTTCCATAGAACACCGTGGAGGAAAATGTACAGCTCTTTCAAAATCCAATGTCTATAAAGACAGAACGCCTTGAAGGAAAACTGTATCATACTTAAGATAGTGATACCTTTTATTAGTACAGTAAAGTCCTATTTTTATGGAATAGGATGGGTCTGAGGTCATTCCATAAAATTGATTTCCCAGAAAATAGAAATAGGCAATTTACCCTAAGAATTTTATTGAAAAATTATGCTATTCTATTTGAATAATGATGGGAATGTTCTACACATTTCCTTTATTAATGAATTAAAATACACAAAACACCATGAAATTATATTAGAGGTTCAAAAGTATCACTTAAATCTTCCTTACCCGTCACTTTCATTTTGTAAAATCAGCAGTTCCATTAAAATCGTATTATGTAAAAATGGGTTTTTACTGTAATAATAGTTATTACCTATTTAGCTCCCAAGGATGTTGTGAAAATTAAATAATAAGCCATTGGAAAGCAAATACAAAGTGTCGCTAATACCAGAGGCCAAGGGGGCAGCCAGATGGAAGTGAAAGATGAGGCCACCTGATACATTACAAATCACGGCTTTCGTGTATAATCCCATTACCTCCAGTGCTCTGTGTGGTCAGAGTGCGCACTGATGCCATCGTGTTTAATCCTCCTAACATCGTGGTATATATTAATTATGGTTTGCATGGTATGCATGAGAATAGAAGCCTTTACAATAATGTTACATAGTTGGTAAATGCCAGCATCCAAGCATGAATTCAGGTTTCTCCTATATTTACTAAAGATCCCTGATAGCCCTGTGTGTCTCATAACCATGCCTTAAATTTTTACCCCATCTTTCAAAGTCCATTACAAATTGTCCTTTCTTAGTTACAGCCCCTTCTCCTCTACTCACATGACACAGTATGATTCTAAATGCATTCTGTGTCTATTATGGCTGTTTGTTATATTAGTGTGCATTGTGTTTTATTAACCCAGGTAAATCACCAATTGTTGCGATTATAACTGTATCTAACCTGCCCTTGGCATCCAGATTATACACACTTGGTTCTGTGCCTTGAACACAGGGAGTGCTTAGTAAATATTTTTAAGCACAGTTGGAAAGGGATTTTCATTTGAAACATGACTATATTTGATGCCAGATGCAAACCTAGTTCACTTTTCACTGTATTAGATACCTATGTTGAAAGTTCCTTTAATTTTTCCAACAGTGTGTGATGAGATTGAATTCCTCAAGTAGGGTATTTTGCATCCATACATATTCAATAGGTAGTGTTTTTTGTTTTTATTTTTATTCCTAGTTAAGGGAGTAATATAAACACTAAACAGAGAAGTATAAATTTGTAAGTTATGTATCTGGTTGCTATCAATCAGAGATAGCAATTTAAGAAAGAGAGAAAGAAAGAAAGAAAAAGAAAGAAAGGAAGAAAGAAAGAAAGAAAGAAAGAAAGAAAGAAAGAAAGAAAGAAAAGAAAAGAAAAGAAAAGAAAGAGAAAGTGAGTCATGCTAAAGAGCTCTGAACAAACTCTGAGTCCCTGCTCAGTCTTTTTTACTTCTAAAACTTAAACTCTGTAACCTCTCTGCACCCAAGTTTCTTTATCTGTAAAAGTGTGAATAAAACAGCTTCATGTTACAGAGTAGCTGTGAGTATTAAGCAAGAAAAGTTAATGTGGATCACTCAGCATGGCACATATGAAGCACTCGGAGGACACTTGCTACGACCCTTATCAAAATCATTTTGTAATTCTTAGAAATCTATTCAAAACATAACTATGTTCCACAAATTCATAAAGTCTTACCCTATACTTTGTCCAGCCCCCAATTTTTCTTTTGTTGTTAAATTATAGATGGCTTCCCTGAGCTCATGAAGTTCATTTAAGTGACACTTCCTGAGCGTCTGTCCTTCTGCCTGACTCAGAGGAGCAAACTTGATTCAAAGAAGACTAAAATGAAGGAAGCAAGGAGAGCCTGGCAAAGGTGAAGAGTTCAGAGAGAGGCACAGCCACAATTAGAAAGAAATGGAGACTCCACCCAAAGGCCCATCAGAGAAGGTCAGAATACCAGGGAAGATTCGTCAGAAGTCAGAAGACACAGCAGTGCAGCTCCTGCCCAAGGTACAAACAAAAGCACAATGAATGCCAGGGCTGGCCAATAGCAGGTGACCGCCCTGGATTAGAAGAGGGATCAGAAGAGCCCTGGATTAGAGAGGAAAAGCAACTGGCACCGAGCAAGGATCACAGTCTGCACCTCCTCTCGCATTTACCTTTTCACATGAAAACTACACATAGTGAACGTAAGTGCAGTTATTCTGTGCAAGATATCTTCATCTCAGGCCAATGAAATTTTTTTTCTGGGATTTTTATGAACTCACTATTTCATATGGGTGTTTCAAATCTTTATTTTCCTTGTCACACACTGCAGGACTAATTAATTAGAAGACACTTTCTATAACTAGTGTCCATGAACACACATTCCCAGCCATTGCTCTCTGACCCACAGGACAGGTTTATCCTATTTAAGGTCAGCTTCATGAAAAACGTAGGCTCTTTTCTTTGAGCAAATCCTGAACAGAGGACTAAAGAACAATGGAGAATGTCCCCAGCACCTGGGACATGTAACAGATGCTGTCAAGCACAATTCCAAACAAGATGGCTGAGACTGCTCCTCAGCATAAAAGCCCCAAAGGACACAAAAAGTTTGGCAACCTTCAAAAGCTTCTCCTCCTTCCTGTGTAGGGTGGTGGAAATATTGCTCAGTGGGAAAAACCATAGCCTTGGGCAATTCTAATAGCGAGATTTATCAAAGAGATGGTGGGGAGAGAGCAGATTTTTCTTTTCCTTGTAAGTAAGAATGACTCTAGAGCTTGTTTATTCAAAAAGTTATATCCTCCAATGAAGAGAGGAATGATAGGAAAGTCAGATGATAACAATAATTCAAGTTTGTGTTGGGCAGCCTTTCTCTCCTGTATCTACCTCCTGAACACAGACCAAGCTCCAGAAAGAGGCCAGTGTGTTTTTGTTTTATTCAGTCTCCATTCTGCCATTATAAATAAAGCAAACAATATAACTATTCTTTTTGTTATATTACCTTTGGTCCTTTAAGAAAGGAAATGGGCTTTATTGCTTAAGAATAAGGACTTGGAATCAAATTGTCTGGGTTCAAATCATGACTCTGCTGAATTGAAAGCTCTGCGACCCTGAACAAGTTATTTAACTGCCCTGGGCCTGTTTCTCTGTCTGTAAAAATGAAGATAGTAATACTACTTACTTCACAATGTTATTGGGAGGATTAAATCAGTACATGAAGAACAGTTCCTGGTACACGGTTACTGTGCAGTAAATGTTTGACATTATGATTATTGCTTCATGGGTGGCCAAAGGAGAACTGAACCATTGCCTAAGAGGTGCCAATTAAACCATAAATGGAATTTGGAATTTGTGGGAAGAAATACAGTTCTTATTCTATGCAAGATATTTTCATCTCAGGCCAGTGAAATTTTTTCTGGGATTTTTTATGAATTCACTTTAAAGTAAAAAGAATGTTTTTCATATGGGTGTTTGTTTGTGCATATCTAGAAATTACCTTTCTTCTGTATCAATGATCACAAACCTTTCAGAGCTTTCAATGACACAAACAGCCTTCTGTGGCACGCACACCTTAGGTTTGCTAGCACTGTTGTACACTGCTGCACTTGGAGGTAATCATAGGTACATGGATGGAGAGAGGTGGGTAGATGTTTTACTGTCTTATTTCTCTAGGACGTTAAGGAATTGTGACAACAGCTTTACATTGTTCTTGGTTCTATATGTAAAACTTCACAAAAGCAGAAAATAAACATGTATGAATTGTTTTCTTTCATATCATCCGTGTTCTTTTGGCACAGGAAGAACATTATCCAGTTAGTAATTACTTGAATCCCTTTTAGGATAATGTTTACTTGCTTCACTTTTAATAAAGGTAGGCTATTTGTTCTGGATTTCACTGAGCCATGAAATTCTTTTCCTAAATTAGTCTCCTAAAAAAGAATTGTGACAACTAAGTGTCAAATTATTTCCATTCTCTTTCTATATTGTACAACATAAAAAAACACAATCTCCAATCAGATTAGGCCTGGTTCAGTCTGCCTGTGATTAATCTCCTAGGTTGTTTTACTCACTGGGTAAAATCAGGACATCGGCCCCAGGACCTGGAATGGTGTGGTTGTGTCCGCCCCAGCCTTCTTCAACATCCTGCCATGTCGCAGAGAGGGACCATTTTAAAGCTGATTTGGGTGCAGCTTTAGAAGCTAGAAAATAAAGAAAAATCTGATTCATTTTGATAATTTTTAAATTATATCCTAATTTGAAGGAGCAGGTGGTACTTTTTAACCTCGCAAATAGATGCTTTTTAATATTATATAAGATTTCATAAAAATATTTATTAGCAGGCAAGCAAAATATTATCCAAACCTTAAATTAACTCCACCTCTGGGAAAAAGATATTTCAATCTTTTTAAACACCTATGTTTTGTTTTATTACAAATGTTATGCATGTCTATTATGTATTATTTGGAAAATGCAAGAAAACAATGTAATAACTCCCTGTAATCTTTCTACATAGTGATAATTGTTGACAACCTTTCATTTGAGTTTCCTCTCAGAATTTCTCAGTATTTATATGAGATTATAATATATCCAGTTCTTGTCTTTACAACAAATTGTCATTTTGCTTAGTCTAGCCATTTTTCTTGTGCATCTTCTAAAGTCATTAAACTCATTGTAAACATGTTTTTAGTGACTTTCTAGTCGCCTATCATATTAAAATCTATAATTTAATTAACCTCCAATGTTTGATACTTAGGTTCTGTCACAATCTGCCTAGAGGTTGTCCTTTAATCTCTGAGGATGACTAATAAGCCCGGGGATTGTTAAGTGTAAAGAGAAAGTGTCTGCTGTAAGAATCACAGGAAATACTCAATTGTTTTTTCCAGGAGAACCCCAGGCCCCATGAATCCTCGTCAAGAGCCCTATAATACTTAAATTACAGGGCTGGAAAGATAGTTCGTTGACATAGTATTTACTCAGCATATTGTAATTAACAAAAAAAGTACAGCATATCCTACTTACACTGACTCCTGGAAATCTCTGGATGCTGGCCACTTATGATGTTCTTCTACAGAGTTCTTAACACAGAAATCTGTATAGTACATACTGAGTGCTACACCACTTTGACAATGGCTGAACCAGAAATTCTAAATCAGAAGTGGTCATCCAGAGATATTTCATCCTTCACTAAGGTGGTCTGGTAAAAGAGCTTATCCAAAAGATATGTCCTCTAGGGGGCTGGGGATATAGCTCAGCAGCATAAGCACCTGCCTTGTGAGCAGGCAGTCATGAGTTCAATCCCTGGTACTGGTAAAAAAAAAAAAAAAAATATGTCCTCTACAAAATAAATACTGTATGGTTTCTGTTATAGTAAAAACCTAAATTACAAATAAAGAACAAAATAAAAGATAGATAATAGAAAGCAGGGAGACAGGTCTATCTCAAATGGGAAGGAGATTAAGAGATGGAAGGAGGAACAGGGAAGGAAAGGGGATGAGAAAAGGAATTAAGATACATTCTATAAACATACCAACTTGACAGAAATAATGTAAATATTATGTACTGCAAATAAGCACTAATAAAAATTTTTTAAAAACGAATAAGAACCCAATCTATCAATGCTCATAGAGAATTTGAATGTCGGAGTTTCAGAAGAAAGACTTATAAGGGTTTTTCTTCCTTGGTAATAATTATTTTAAAGATAATTAATTAACTAGTAAATCATTTCTTTGTCGTCCCCAAGAGACAATGAAACACAATATAGTCAAAGACCACTCCATCTTGCCCACTGTCAGATCCCCTATTAGCTCACACAGAGCCTTCTATTAACACAGCACTACAGAAGAAAGATGGATTAAAGGCAGGAAATACAAAGTTCAGTGGTGTGCACTGGGACTTAAGTATCTTTTAGGAATACAATCTTGAATGGCTCTCTTCATATTACAACAACCATGGAGCAAAACCATCAGTTCTAGTCTACAGTTGCATCCAGTATGTTTAACTCTTTTATTTATTAAGTAAAAGAATTATTAGATCATTTTCCATTTAGCAGGGTCTCTGCTCTAACCTAAAGTAGGACTGAAAATCACAAGAAAACTCTGCCTTTGAAAAGATGCATCCTTCCTGCAAACTGACATGGAACAAATAAAAACAAACAATGAAATACATCAGAAAGTACTTATGGAGTGTTTATTCTTTGACAGTTTTGATTAGTTTTTTTTTCTCTTTTTGGAGTTAGAAAGGTTTCAAAGAACCATATGACTTTTGGGGAGGAATTGTTTATACTGATTTCCTGAAATTACCAGAAACAATTAAAGTTTAGAGATATCAAGCATTTTTCTTTCCATTTGGAGTGGGTCTAATGGCCCATCTGCAGATCTGCAGTCCTGTGTGCACATATGGTCTGTAATTTATGAAGTGTGCTTATTTACATGTTTCAATTCTTACTTTGCATTGTTTTGAAAAATAAATGCACCCTTATATCTTTCTTTGACATGAACACACATATTTTAATTATAGGAGATAAGTATGCAGGGCTGATCCTTGCCTGCTTATAAATAACATGAAGAGGATGAACTTGTAACTATTAGAGGACATTGTGCTGCACCACATGCTCCTGTTTTGTGACTTAATACTCACCAGAAATAGTTGGGAGCACCTCGCCTTCCTCTACCTGGAGACTCACTTGAACTTGATCTTCACCTGAAACTATGAATACAAACATCTACAATATGGGAGTAATAAAAAGATCATCTTAAATACTAATGATATTATTCACTTGTAAAAAAGATGGTTTCATGCAATATTCTTCTTGGCCTAATTAAATTTTCACAATGAAAAAGAATTCCTTGTTAATTTAACAATTGATTTCTAATATTTGGTTTTCATTTTTTTATTTAATAAATTGAGTTGTAGTGAGACTCTCTAAAATAGCTGGCACATAGTTAGGGAGGGAACCAACCATTTAGCTATATGGTTTTTGGAAGCCAATGGTGTCCAGGAGGCCACATCTCACATCCTGTTTCCATCATTTCATAAGCTCAGGTTTTAGAATTCTTGTGTTTTTCACCAGTAGAGTTCAGATCACCCATGAAATGTATTGTCTTTACCTTTATCCAAACAAATTATCCTTTTAATGAAGGCTCTTCCCCATCCGCCTTTCTCCTCCCATCTTCCAAACCAACTGAGCACATTTAAAAGGCCTGAGGTTCATTAATTTTAAGTGTTCAATAAATTAGTGGAAATAATCAAAAGCCCTGATTCTTTCTGATAATGACAATTTGATGTCAGTATAAACTAGTAGATTAAGCTGGGAACATATGCTTCTTTGCCAAGAGAGGTTGCTATAATTAAATAGTGAATACATCTACAAGGTGCTCTCACGCCTGATTAATTAGTAATCAGGTGCATGAATTTCATTTTTATAGCAACACCTTGTCTCTTATTGGTTAATTACCTTCCTGCTTTATCAGGTGTCATGGGAGTCAGCACCTCCTACCACTGGAGAGCCTAAAGCTGCCCAAGGCCCTCAGAGACTTGGCCAAACCCACGCTCTCTGCTTTTGTTTCCCTGAAACATTTCTACATCACAGATGGGATGACCAAAACCATTCCCTTTAACTACAAAGCATACATTTCAAAACATTGCAATGAAAATAACTTCTGAAGAGCTCCATGAGAAATATCTCCAATTCTATCTCATATTGACCATTTTCTCATTTAATATTGTTTTCAAAATGGGCATGGTAACACATGCCTTGTAAACCTAGCACTTGGGAGGTTGAGGAAGGATGTTCTCCGTGAGTTCAAGGCCAGCCTGAAATATATAATAAGACCTTGTCTCAATACATATATATACACATATACCCTTGTACTGTACATCTGCAAACTAGGTACATGGCAACTTTCTCTTGACATATTCCATGTCTATCACCATGTCTAATACTATACTTGAACTAATCCTTTATCTTGCTACATATTTTACCTACTTTTCTAACTTCAAAAAAAGTAATAATAATAATGCCACCAGCCAACTATCTCTTCTTTTCTCATAGGATCTAGCTCAATCATTTATCTATGTTGATCCATGTATTCTCTGAAGTTGAAAAGTACTTCACATTCTATGACAAGTACTTCAAATGCCATTCTGACATCTATGCCAAGTTTGGTTTTAGTTCAGTAAGCTCATCTATTAAGATAGAATTAAGGCACTGTCTTTGTCTCCAAATGTGTTTTTAGTACTGGGCATCAAACTTAGAACCTTGCACATGCGAAGCAGACATTCTACCATTGAACCATAAACCCTAACTTCAAATTTTTGAGAGATTTTTCTCATGTATCTTATGACTCTAGGTACTGTGAGGAATGCATACACTTTATTCTCATGTATCAGTATATGGGACTCTATTCTGAGCACCTCAAGCATAACTAACAAGGTAAATGAAAAGGAAAAGACAAATATGGTCACAGTGGCATCAGAAAACATACAGAATGCAGTAACAATAGAACGCTCTTCCGCGGGTTAAAGAATTGAATATTGTCACAGAGTCAAGCTTACAAAAGACAAATTAGAAAATATTTGAAAAAAGAAACTTTTTCCAAATTTTTTTTCAGTTCATCCAAAGCTGTAATAAAAATCATTCTTTTTAAATGATTTCCAAAAAGCATAGATTTCAGTATGTCGGTGCCCTTTCTTAGGACAAAACCATTGACCTAGTGGTGGTACATGATTGTCATTCGAGCACTCAGGAGGCTGAGACAGGAGAATGAGGCAGGAAGATTGCCTCAGATTTGAGGCTAGCCTGTTACATAGTGAATTCAAGTCTAGCTTGAGTTACATAGAGACCTGCCTCAAAAGACAACAGCAACACTGGGGTAAAGCAAGTGATAACAGCCATACATCAAGGCTTTTTCAAAGGAACTCATCATTTGATAAGGATTCATTCAGCCCCAAGTAAGTAAAACTATACCTACTAAAGGAATGGTTGGGGGAAAGGAATTATGGCAATATTTTTCCAACTAGATATAGGAAATGTTTAATATACAGAGAAACCAATCAATGTATCTCAAATTCCTTGCATGTAAAATAATATCATAAACATCCATGCATGGTAGTTTTCATTATGACGATTCTTCCAAAGACTGAAGACACCAGCCCTCAATATAGCCCACTGCTATCAGAGTATGTTCCTGTTTTTTGTACCTTCACTCCTTGCCCAGGTTCTACTGTAGGAAAGCCACACCTTCCCGGCTCAGCATCTGCCCCCGGAGCTCTTTTCACTGCACTGTCCAGATGGCTTCAGAGCTGAGCTGCACACACACACACACACACACACACACACACACACAATCCTCACTTCCGCAAGGATCCCTTTCTCACACAGATATTGGAATACTAAAATGTATATAGGAAATTTGTCACTCACTTTATTAAAATTAAATATGTGCATGTCATTCAGAGGAGAGAAGTGGTTTCAGTATCAGAGAAGGTACAAAAAGAAATCAGAAGTAGAAAAAATTATCAGAGTCTAATTTCCTGTATCACCACACTACATGTCACCTGTGGAGCTGATTCAGAATGTATAAGAATGGATCAAGAGACATGATTTTCCCAAACTCAACTTCTAAGGTCATGAAAGATAATAAAGGGTGCTGTGAATATAAAGAAAGGGTGCTGAAGCCCATTGTCTTAGAATTGCACCCTGGAACTACTGAACCTCATTCACTTCACCTGAAAATGAGCAACACATACTGTCCACCTCACAGGGTAGTTCAGGGAGAAAAAGATGGGGTAATTTATAGAAGATAGTTAGCAGAGGACCAGGCACCTAGTCAACAATAAATACTCACTGTGATCAATACTGTTATTAGGCATATTCATTATTCTAAATGCTGGTTAACAAGGCTTAGGAAATATACTTCTTCTCCTTTTCTCCCTGTAGAGCTGCACCTAGTCATGATGAGCTGTAGTATTAAGCGTTGTAAGCAACTTAATGAAATCTGCTAAAGTTTGCTAGGTGTATTTACTCTAAAAGGCTGTAAATGTAAAGTCTCGTTTCCAATTTGAATAAATACAAAGAGGAATGAAAATGATTTTAAAACTAAAGGTATTGACTTGGGAAGAGCTTAAAACCTTGCACAAACTGTGATGTTGTACATATGTTTTCGCAGTGCTCAAGATTTCTATTTTGCACTTGAACAGTGAGACTGGCTAATCCATCTTGTTTATAAATGAAGTCTCCTTGTAGTTGATCTTTTCCAGATTGTAAAAACTAGTCCTTTGATAGAAGAAATTATTGCCAAGTTATTCTCATGAATGCTACCTCATTTTAGCTATCTAAAAATATAGGGTTATAGGAGGGAGAGATAAATGTGCTAAGAAGTGAGTTCCTATACTCGGATCTAAGAGTTACTCAGCTAAATGTGATGTGAGTGGCTGGGGGTATTGTGTCCTCTCTGAAGTGGTAAGGAAAAGAAAAATTGAATTCTGTCCCCAATCAGATTTAATATTCTTTTACAATTTTGGAGTAATAAGTGCCTATTCATTTAAATAGAAAACCACATCTCAGTTAGCACAGACTTCATCCTTGTTTCACGTACCCATTCGTACCCACTTTCCCCTCTCCATTTGAATTTATTCATGTATCAGACTGCACAGTTCAGTCTGTATGTATCTAATATGAGTTGTCTACAGACTACACAATGAAAGAACACAGAGAAACAACTATTTTGAGGTCTGCAAACTTTATCCAGTCTCACCTTGACTTGTGATTTCTCTTTCTAACTCTATCTACACTGAACCCAGATACCAGCCTTCAATTCCTGAGCCAGCCGTTGGTCTTGGGCCTGCCTCTCAGCTTTCATCTTAGGTTGCTATGTCTACTACGTCATCTCTCTTCCCCATCTTCCTCATAAACCTGCATGCTCCTACTCGTTCTCCTCTCCTGCTCAGTGACCTTGACCACATTCCCCATGCGATGACTTCTCTGACTCACCTGCAGAAATTTGCTTGTCAGCTGGACCCTGGGTAACTTTCTCCACTTGATCACACTCCTGTATAATTTCAACCTCACAGAAACAGCCACGAAAGTCACCTTGATTCTCGCAACACATGTTCTTTTAAAAACCGTTAATGAAAAGACTATGTGAAAATCCTGTGAACACCTGCAGGTCTTCACCTCAAGGATGTGATTTTTTTAAGCATAGAAGAACTTGATAGACACCAATAGGCATAACTACATTAGCCAGAGTCCTGAGAGTTAGTCCAACTAAACCTTCTTAATTAACTCAGAAAACAATAATAATTGTGATTGTGACTCAGAGAGATGTGTACCACACTGAAATAAAAGGCATTTTTGATATCTTGTGATTTACAGAACCATATCCTCCAGGGAGGGGTGTCCAGACAAGCATTCTACCTGTTTGCCTATGAGGCAAATTTTCAAAACACTGACTTAAGAAATTGTATAACTGCACTCAAAACAGGATTTGTTTTCAGAAGCAGGTGTTCTTAGCAGGTGAAGACAGCGAACCTAGTGGGAAAGACTTGTATTCAAAATGGTTACTCTTTATGAGTGTAACTGAAGCCGTGCAGGCCACATTATATTTGTCAACTATGAAGTGTTCAGTGATGATTTTATTTTAGTGGCTATGGGTATTGATACTTTTTAGAAAAAAACAACTAGTTTTATACAGGGTGTTGCATGAAGA